CGTCAGCGAGGACTCCATGCACATGCAGAAAGCAGCAAGGAGGTTTCACTGCAGACCGCTCGTCGGGCCAAAACTAGCTTTTCGAGCCAAAGCCAGCAGCGCAGCCAGGTCTGCGGGTTTAGGGTATCTTGTTCAGAAGAGTGAGGGGCTGAGGTTTTGGGGTTCGGGCAGAACATTGTCAGAATGACATTCCACACAGACAGACACAAAACCACGTCATCGACTGGCCTAAAGCTCGGGATGTCTCCCATCCACGGTCAATGTCAAAGGCGAAGAGAAGTCGAGGTCAAGAAGAAGGCTACAGAAGAAGCACTGTTTCAGTCCTGCGCTCTAGTGAGAAACGAACTTGCCCAGTCCCGCGGGCTGCATCCCCACACCTCTGCAAGACGGCGTCTACATGTGCGCGGTGGCGTGAAACGCACGTAGCCGCTCAGACCGCCGGGATACGTCAGCGCCGCCCCTAGGCATCATGCCGATGAGCAGCCTCAGATGAAAGATGCGGGAGAGACCTCAAGGCAGACATTCGCACATCTTCCTCGTTGTACCAATCCACAATGCAACTCGCAATAGCGCGCCTGATGTCCATACTTCGTTCTCATGCACGGACGGTCGTGCATCTCGCAGGCGGGCAAAGATTCCCCATTGCGGCAAGGAGCAAAAGGGCGCGGTCACCTAAGCAAACGTCGCAAAAAGATGCTGCGGCGCCCACACGAATGCACGCATGTCACCATGCACTCAGACATCATGCCAACGTGTGAGTGTGAGTTGTGTCAAGTAAGTCCAAGGAGACATGCCATGTTATTCTCAGTTCAGGAAGACACTCTTTTCAGCAGAAGCTGCGAGAGTGTGTGCATACCCACACTGCAGGCGCTGACTGACCTGTCCAGGACGAGCCTTCCGCCGTGTCCGGCGCCGGCGCACCTTCTGTAAGACAGCGTTGCGCGCGCAGCAGCGGGGACGGGCTCAGGCAACGTCCCAGGCTGCGCACTTCACCTTTATCGGCGTCTTCTCAATTAGACTGGTGGCCGGGCGCTTGTTGCTCTGCAGCGTCGGTCCCCTGCAAGCAAGTTCCAGACCATGGCGCGCTCTGTCTCCAGGTTGCGAACTTGAGCCTCCGTTGCGCGGGACACTCCACATGTAAGACTACAGCGTCCGTGGCCTTGTTTCTAAGAACGCGTCCCACCAAAAAATGGTTGGCCGTCTGCCATGTTGAAGAGGTGACAGCTGGTGAAGTGACAAAAAGGCCTTGATCGCGTGGCTGGGCGCCGTCCATGTGCGAGTACGAAAAGACCTGCTGGTGCTTGGTAACCAAATGCTTCTTTGCCACCAATGTCCACCTTGTCCAAAAGAGAGGCTTTTCCCACAACGCCTCCTGCTCGGAAATGCGCTGCGACAGAGCGTGCAGAAGCTTCTCTGTTCTGCGTGCTTGCGCCAGAGCCCTGTTCTGCGCCTGCAGCGCAGCAAGCTTACGCAACTGCGCTTTCCGCTTCCATGCTATTTGCGGTGTTTTCAAGAGCCCAGTTGTCCGTTACCATGCTATTTGCGGTGTTTTCAACGCCAAGTGTCCGTTACCAACTCTTTGCGGTGTTTTCGCGCCCAGATTCCGTTACGCTATTTGCGGTGTTTTCATGCGCCCAGATGTCCGTTACCATGGTATTTACTCTATGCACTTCACTCTATGCACTTCACTCTATGCACTTCAGTCTATGTTGTTGTGTCAGGGGGCTCCGCACGGAAGAACCCTTCGCGATGCTTTCGGGAAAAAAAACCATCCTCAAAAAACCCTAAACCCCAAACATCTAAAACACTAAAACCCTAAAACCCTAAAAACCCTAGAAACCTAAGTCCTAAAAGTTTTTGTGGTGCCTTCGAAGTTTGTCGTGTCGATGCTTGACATCAAGTGTCGGACCTTTCAAGTTGTGAGAGTTCAAGTATTTCTGGTGTTAAGCTTCAGCTTCAGGGTTAGAGTCGCAAGGCTTAAGCTTAGGGTTGCTTCGCAGTGTTTTGGGGTCTTAGGGTTTGGAGTTTAGCAGTTTCGTGTTGTTAGTGGATAACCCCAAACCTTATATAGCTCTTTAAACTTCAAGAACCTAACGCTTGTCAAGATTGCCTGTTGGGAAACTCAGGTCTGTGGGTGGAAGTTGCGGAAAATCTGCTCAAACCTTGCCAGCACGTTGGTATCCTGGGAAAGAATGTAGCTTGTTTAGAGATTGAAGTTTAGCAAGGTATCCAAAAAGGGCTACAAACCTCAGCTATAGGACATTGCAGGCGCAGTGGTGCAATCGCCTGCATTTCGGCAAATGTTTTTGAAAAGATTACCGCACATTGACGCAAATCATTTTGAGCTCACGAGCTGCTCCGCAAGTTGCACCTTCGAAGCAAAAACACACTTGTGTCTGCAGCTGTTTTTCACAAGAGGCAAGTGCCCAGGCATTTCAACTTCCAGGTTAGGTAGCTGATGACATGCACTCGGCTTTCTGACGTGGCACATTCTTGGGGAAAGATTGGAGACATGGTGCTGAACCGGGACACCAGCTGCGCTTGTAACCGGCCTATGAATCTTGCCTTCCTACATGGGGGACCAGGTTTAAGGCTTGGTTCGAACTCATTTGAAATTTTGCACAGTGCTTTTTAAAACAAGCTCCATGCCGCTTGCAAGCTCAATGAGACGCGTTGGGCTTAGATTCTGAGATGCTCAGGAATGCTCTTCTTGTGCAGCACTACAAACCTAACCTTCTTAAACTTCCAGCTCGAAAACGTGAGGAGCAGGGAGAGGAGCTAGTAGGCCCCGGCCGCGCCCCACGATACGTCGCCTCGTGCTGAGGGCCCGAAGAGCAAACGCGATTCATGCAGTTAGCGCAGGAACTTTACGAAGCACCGGCATCTACCGTTGTCCTTCCGTAGTAACGTTTGGGTCGAGTGGCATGAAATCTTTCAGCTGTGCCCATGTCATGTGTTGGAGCTGGTGCCCCGACTGCCATTCTCGCATTGAGCGGGGTGGCCAAGCTTTGTCTCCATGACGAGAGGTATAGGCAGAGTCCATGCCCCGGCTCGGTGTTGCTATTGTTCACGGGTGACCGCCTTGCATGGAGGGTTTGACGATGCACGGCACATGATGGAGTATGATGGAGTGAGAGCATGTTTATCTTGGTTCAGACATTGCTTTGCACATGCGCATGTCAACAAGCAATGTTTCTGATTGGTTTTGTCTTGTCGTTGTCTTGTGACCTTGAGCTTCATTGAATATGACACTGTGAGCCCCAAAGCCCTGAACCTTAAACCCTGTTCCCCACTGTGCAGAATTGATGCCATGGCAAGTTCGGCCGCGGAGGGTCCAGGTGCGCTTGTCTGATGCCAACGTGTAGTTTGTACGACCAGTTTAAAGTTCGGAGTCAGAGTGGAACCCTCATTTTTGTTTGGCATGGTGTCCGCGCATGGTGTATGCTTTTTTGCTCCCCAAAAGCCAACTTGAGGGTCCTGAATCTCAAGCTCTGGCGTTTGCACACGGAAGGGGACTTCCATTTTGTTTGTGGAATTGGATGTGCATGGTTTTCCTGAAAGCTTGTGGGGAACCCCATCAGCTTTGCATGCGAAGGTCCTGGCGCATCGGGGCTTCGACAAGCCACCAGACATGAATGGTTAGGAGGGTTTTTGGGCTTCCAAGTCAGTTGTCCCCTCATCTTGCCTCCAGTTAAGTGTGCTTGGAGAACCTCGTGGAAACATATAGGATGCCGGCATCCCCAAGTGCTGAACCCGAAGCCAGCCCTTAATCCGAACAGAGCTGTGTCTGTTGAACCGAAAATGCTTCAGTGCGCACCCAGAGTCCTGAACCACCTTAAGCAACACCTCAAGCCAAAACTCTGAGCCTTAAGCTGGATTCTGAACCTCAAACGCAATATTCCCGAGATGTGATGGGCTCAGGTCGGCAGTGATGCTGCTCCCAGCAAGTGCGGGGCCTAGAGTCTAGACCGTGCTTGGCAAGGCACATTGTCTTGGGGGGATGCTGGCCTTTTTGGCTGCAGTTTTTGGCTGGATTGGCTGTTTAGGGTGTAAGTTTTAGTTCTTGTTGGGAACTGTTCGGGTTAAGGGCGAGTCGAGGGTTTAGGGTTGAGGGGCAATGAGGGTTAACAGGCTTACCAGGTGTAGATTGGGTTAACAGGCTTACCAGGTGTAGATTGGGGGCCATGGGCAATGTTGAGCGTTTCGAGGCGGTTTTGGGGCTTTTGTTTGGGGTTTAGGGCTCAGGGTTGGGCCAGGAAATTTGGGGGTTGAGGGCGTCGACTTGCAGGTTTAGGCTTCCAGGGTTTTGGTGTCGTGATGTGGAAGTTCGGCGAAGCTTTGGGATCAACGGATCACAAGCCCTGGCTGAGAGATTGCGCAAGCTTCGAGGACTAGCGTAAATGGAAGGGACGCGTTTCCCAACCACCATTTCCACAAGACCAGCTTTACTCCCAGGCCACAGACCCGCAGCTCATTCGAGTTTGCAGTTTAGGGCTTCGGGTATATGCGGTATGAGGATGGAGTACACGCAGCAGCGGACATGCGCATGTCAGGAAGGCTGGAGACGGATCTGGTGGCGGCGAAAGCTCAGAGGAGGGCGCCGAGCACTCATCCTCCAGTTCCTCGGGAACAGAGAGTGAATCAGAGCAGGCGGGAGCTTTTCCATGAGTTTGAATCCAGATCGCTCGTTCCCCCAAATTCCCCCAAGCTTTTCTGCATTTGCAGGTAGTTTTTGGTCGGCTAAAGCGAGAGATGACCGATTGGTTTACGGATGTTGCCCTTCAGTCCGCTGCCAGCACTCACGGGTCAAGTGCAACAAACTGGGAGGAAGACTTCTCGCTTTCTTGATCAGGCCAGGAACGAGTCTTCTTCTTCTCAGAGGCGCGAGTGCTATTCCGATGAATGTGATATACGGGGCAGACGTCTGAAGCATCCTCTGCACAGTGATTCTTGGTGTCAGGTTTGCAGGTCAAGCGGCCAAGACTGCGCAACCTGCAGACATGGAGGAGGGTGCCAAGCGAATTGGATGTGGGAGTACATAGCACACGATTCGCAGCAATGGCAGGCTTTTGCCAACAGAATCAACAGAGCAGGCCCCCCCTAAGTCCTAAACCCATCTAAACCCTAAGCTCGCGCGAAGACAGACCTGCAGGAGCAGAAGCCAGGCAATTCTCCAGTGGCTGCACCCGAGGCCCCATGTCCCCGGCCAGCTTGCAATGAGAAACTCAGTGCCGGTCCTGAACCCCAAGTACTATCAACATTGACACAAGTAAACAAACATGCTTCTTAGCAAGAAGCATCTGCACAGTATTTGGCAACATTGTCATAGCCACCCCCCGAAGACCGACTACCCCTTAACCCTCGGCTCGTAGTTCCATGAAGTCAGAGCCGCTGTTGCCTTGGGTCCACCTTTGCAGTCTGGAGCTGCACTCGGGTTGGGCGTCTGGGTTTGAAACTTGGGGTTTGGTGGGGTTGGAGGCGGCCTTGTCGGGTCGACCTATTGCCGCTCGTCCAGCAACTCTTCTCATCCATGTATGTTGCATGTTGGCTCGACGTTGATGTTTCTCCCACTGCCACGATGTTTGTATGTCATGGTTGATTCACTCGTTCGCACTCGCTCGATGCTCGAGGAACTCGCGGCAGTCTTCGCTTATGTCTGTGTGCGCCCACGCTTTGGACCAGGTTTTCCCGTACTGGCAAGCTCGGACCCTTGCCTGCTCCGCCATGCCCAGACGCGAGCAAGCTCGACCTTTGCGCAAAGCTGCTCTGCTCCTGCTGATGAGCCCACTGTGTGGAACAATGCCCCTTGTCGTCTTGTATGCCAAACAAAGACTCAACCTCCACAGCTGTTCCAAACTTGATGCCAGGCTTCCAAGCAGCTCTCGGTGAGACTTGTCTGCAATAAGAGACTAGAAAGCAAAAGCCTGGGGATGCGTTTAAAGCTGCTCTTTACCATCAATTGCTCTGATCTTGTCTGGTTTCGGACAATGTTTCTCAAAGTCTGGATCTTTTGCAAATGTTGCTGGTTGGCTTTTCGTGTACCAACAGGACATGTAACAACTTCATCCTTGATTCTATCGAAAGCGGTTCTGCCTCCACTCTTCAGCCTTTTTCAGGATGGTCCTCTATGTATTCTTCGTTTTGTTCATTGAGTCTTTCTTTGTGTCTTTGATGCTATCTTGTTGCATGTTTCTCTACACGCATTGCATGTCTTATAGTTCTCTTCAAACTTCTCAAGCTTCTGCATATTCTGACACTTGCTGCAAAATCTCATTACTTCCATTACTCAATACTTATAAGTGTCATTCCTTGAAGTGTAAAGTCTGCCTAATATCTAAGCATTCTGAACAAGTCAAGGTGTATTTACCAACTGTGTTTGCTTTTGAGACAATGTTTATGTTTGACTTGCTTACAACGATAACATGTTCTCACGATATTGACACCTGGTTCACTATATGCATCGAAATCAGCTATTATCTTATTTGCATCTATTGGCATTATATTAACATAATATACGTGAAAACTTGTTATACATGATGATATTTATAACAAGTTTTCCTTAAGATTTACCGAACCTCATTACAAATCCATATCATCTCCGCACATTTTCCACACATTTACCCAGGGTGAGGGCTGGGTGGTGCCATACACCTTAACAGGCAAGGTCTGTTCTAACCAAATGCCAGGCCTGCGCCCGCAGCTCCGAGGCGGCGTTCCTCTTTGGTGCCCCGGGAGCTGCAGCAGGGAGGCAGCTCAGGGGGCGGCTACAAGGGATTCGGGGGGTTATCAAGGTCTTGGGTGTAAAATGTTAGGGGCTCAAAGGTTTGGAAGGGTTAGAAGGGCTTTGTGGCCTAGAGGTTTGAGAGGTTTAGGGCTGGTGGCGGTGGGGGGGTTGTATGATGCAACGCGCTGAGCAGCGAAACCCCAATGCCAAACCCAAGCAAGTCCACCCCTTCAGATGGTCTTGCAATGTTTGACGGCTCTGACCATTGACCCTTCCCTCTCCAACAAAGATGTACCGTCTAAATACTAAGAAGCCTTAAAACTCAAAGCCGTAACGCCCTAGCCTCCATGGCCAGGCAGTGCCGCGGACGTGGAGGCGGCGAAGGTCCGAAGGGCCGTGGCAGCGGCCAAGAAGCGAGTCCAGAAGGCGTCTTGTGGTCTCGGGCTCGCGGTCCAGATTCTCGGGTTTTGGGTTCAGGCTGTAAAGTTTGAGGTCCGCAGAGCTGGGAGATTGTGCCCTAGACCATCCCGGAGGAAGCAGATCGGGTTGCGAACCAAGACATCGTTGGTTGGCATAGGAGGATGTGAAATAGTACGTCTGCATACATTGGACCACACCAAAACAAGCTTTTCAGATGGTCGCTCATCACTCACTTGCCCGCACGCTCATTCGTCAACACCCTTAAGCATCCCCGGTTGCCTAATCATCAAACAGTGTGAGTAATGTTTTTTGGCATGAAGCGAGAAGCCAAGAAACAAAAGCCTGACAGCTGCCCCTCAACCTGAAGAGAGTGTACCTTGGCGGCCAGGGTGGGCTGACCCGAACCACTAAATCCCCTCCAAAGCACCAATCCCTCAGTCCCTTACACAAAAGCCTGCAAATCCCCTAACCACCAGCCGCCTTGCATGGAGGCCCGGGCCAAGCCAAAAGCCCGGCAGGAGAAGCCGAAGAAGAAGGTTACCTCCAGGCGAGGGACTCGGGCCATGTTTCTTGGGCGCAAGCCCTACACCGGTAGGGTTTCGCAGAATGAGGATGCATCACCGTAGCCATAGCCATCATGGATGACGAAAGAAGATTTCGTCATCGACGATGGCTATGGCGACGGCCCCAAGCTCTCAAGCGACTCAGGTGCTCAAACTCCAAACTGGTTCTTGCCTCCAAATCCCAACCTGAAGCCCTACATGGCACCCTTCTTGCAGTTTGCTCGAGGTCTGAGCTCCTCGTGTCGCTTTTCAACGCCCTTGGCGGTCATGAGACTGGGTATTTAGGCACGCCCTCACGTATCGCTGACACGGTTTGCTTGCTGCTATGAAGTTCAAAGCCAATTCGAAATTGTAACAAGATGTCATAGCAAGTAAGATTGAGGGCCTCTTCAGATCGACTTACTCATCCGGGAGGAGCTTTCATGGGTGTTCTGAGCATGTCCTTCAGCCATTCTCCGTTGCTAATGAACCCGAACAGCCAGCAATGACGGGGTCCAAGTAGGATCGCCTTGACACCGCCGAGTCGCACACAAAAGGATAACCTTGCGCTAGTTTCAGGTTTCGTTAGTGCACGTCAGTAGTCGAGTCTCACACTATCCACGAGTGTATCATGTCACAATGATCGAAGCTTAGTATGCCTTTTGTGCTGCGAATTCAACACCCGCAAATGTCCTAAAGCCAGCCCAAATCCCTTAAACCCTCATGGCCCTAAAGCCCTTTCTCTTAAGCCCTCAAGCCCTGATGCCCCGAAGCCGCAAGCACCCCTGAAACCCCTGAGCCCCCAAAAGCCCACCAAGAGGCAGCGAGCAGCTCCTCCGCATGGCCCAGCTGCTGGGTTTTGAGGGCGATGCGCAGGTGTGGGGGCTTGGGGTTGAGGGTTGAGAATTCGATAAATTCGGGGGGTTGAGGGGATCGAGGACTGAGAGGATTAGATGCAGGAGGGCACAACAAAAAGAAGCAGCGACCCCTTAAGTCAAATTTTCCTGCTTCGAGGCTGAATGTTGCTTTGGGAAGAGATGGTGTTGGGGGAGACTAGCGCACCGAGGTTTTTTCATGTCGAAGTGGCTGTATCCCTCGAGCTCCCAAGTTAGGCAAATATTCCTTAGCCACAAGACCTTGTGTTCATGCAGGCATGGCAAGAAGAGTACCTGGCGCTGTGCCGGTCTTATGGCTGGCCGCTTGGCCCAGCAGACTTTGTGAAGGTTTGGAGTGTTCAGGGTTGGGGATTTCGGGCCACCCCCAAACTCCCAGCCCTGAGCAACCTAAGCTGCCCCAAGCCCCTGTTCTGAAATGCGGGACCTCAAGTTACAAGCTCATGAACTCCAAAGCCCTGAAAACTGCATGCCTGCCGCCCATGGTTGAAGCCCGCATCTTGACATCTAAGCTCTGAACCCGAGATCTGGCCTGCTGAGGAAAGAGAAGCGTGGGGCGAATCGCGCCAGCCTGAGCTTTGTTGGTTTTAGGTTTGCGTTTCGGTTTCGGACTTGAGGTTTAGGATTCGTGCAGCCCGGGTGGAACAACTTCGGGGTTGAAGACAGGTCGGGGGCCACTTAGGGGTTCCGCGTGAAATGCGTAACGAAACGGACCCCAGTCTTGGACCTACTGCTTGGTACGCTTGTTGGGCGGGGTTTGGGGGTCGCACCCTCAAGGGTTTCGGCCGCGCTTTCGGGCCCTCAGAATCGAAACTCCCGAAGAAATCCCAACCAAGCACCTGCTTCTCTTGCAGGCTAGCTGCGACTCTTCTAAGATTCTAATGGGCTCTATGGCCATAACCTGAACCCTCAATTCTCAACCCAAGACCCCAAGCCCTCGACCCTAAACCTTACTTGGTACTTTCACTAAACCCGAAGCCCTAAACCCGAATCCCGAAACCCGAAGCCATGGCGGCTGAAAGGGCGCCAGTTCGCGGAGCTCCTGGACGACGACGACAGCTTGGGGCTCGGTCCGCGAAGGAGGCTTGGGCTTCAGAGTTCGGGGCTCAGTGGTTTTACAGTCTTGCTTGTTTTCTTTGATTCTATTCTATTGCTATTTTTTGAGGGGGGGTTTGGCGCTTTCAGGGTTTGGGCGTTTTAAGTTTTAGGGTTCAAAGAAGTACGGGGGTTTGGGGGGGGGGGGGTGAGGGAGGGTTTTTTGGACTCCAGGTTCGTGTACGGCTCAGGGTTCCCTCGGCAAAGTGGTTGTTGAGGCGACGCCTTCAGCAACGACATGGAGCTAGCCACGATGCTGTGCAACTTTCCAGCCAGCCAGCCCCACCAGATTCCGCGTAACGACTTGGTGAAGGTGCGCACAGCGTCGCAGCACAGATGCATTTTGCATAACATTTCGAGGGCAGACGCGAGGAGAGACACAGGTGCGCACAGACACGTAAGCTGGTGAGGCCTGCTCCGTACAATGGAGGGCTGTGTGAGTTGCATGATACGGCGTTGGGAAGGCGTTCTTCGACTGGGTTGACCTCAATCACAACAGAAGGCCAGCAATTTCATGCTCAGTCATCGGCTTCAGCAGAGCGCGTGAGGGCAGCGACAAGAAGAACAAGTTAGGCACAGTAACCGCATCAATGACATGTGCTCGTGTGAGCTGTAAGCATACCAGTGGCATCGCAGCAGTTTCTGCGACAGTTTCTGCGACAGCTTCTTGGTTTGTGTTGCTTGCGGCTTGGAATGGTTCCTTTCTTGCCTCGTTCCCTGAAGTTGTCAGCCAAAAGCATGCTTCCTTGGTGCCAGTGTCCCAAGTCCTTCAAACAACTCCAAACTCCTTCAAACTCAAAGCCCCAAACCTGATTAACACTCCTTGGCTCCGAGAGGCTTGGTGGCCGGGAGCTCCTTCGCTTTGCAAAGCACCTGGGCTTCGACGGTGACTCCGCAGAGTGGGACAAGGAGCTCCGACTACGAGAGAAGTCGAGGGTTGTCGGGTCGGACGGCAAAGGCAACGTGTGTCACCGCAGGAGTATGCCTACATGGTGAAGCGCTACGGCTGGAGCCAGAAAGGCTGTGACCTCCCTCAGTTCACCCGGCTGCTGGCAGACGAGGCGCGACATTTTGCACCGAGTCTTGCCGCTTGCTACCGAAGTCGTCTCCTTGTGGCGCAAAGCTGCCGTAAAGACCATGAACCCAGCTTCTTGTTGGGAAAGGCTGGGCTCTGCTACTGCGACGACGCGGCGCTGCAGGTGCCCCTGAGATGTTGAGGTGCTGAGATCCGAGGCTTGAGACTTTGAGGGTTCGCAGGTTCGTGGGGTATAGCAGCTGTCGTGTTCAGGTCCAAAACCCTAAACCCTAAACCCTAAACCCTAAACCCTAAGGCCTAAACGTCCCTAAAGCCCAAACCCTAAACCCCAAACCCTAAACCCCAATCCCTAAACCCCAAACCCGGAAAACCGGAAGGTAGAGCTGGCGGAGCTGGAGATGGTCACCGGCCAGCCCTTCTTCTCGCGCCTGTTGGATCCGGTGCAGGGGGGCCTTGTTCATCTGCTGCCTTCTGGTTGGAGCTTCCTGGGGTGGGTTTCGGGTTTAGGGTTTAGGGTTTTGGGTTTATGGTCTAGGGTTTCGGGTTTTGAGGGTTCAAGGTTCTGGGCAGAGTTCAGCTGCGATAACGGCTCGGGTACGTATAGTTTGAGCTATTTCCTCTAGAGTTCTAGTTGCCCATGAACCTCCAAGTACAGTGGGCCGAGTGTGCTGAGGATTTGGGCAGGGTTCATGCTTCCAGCGTGCAGAGTTGTGTTTTGTAAATAGTGGATAGAGGCGCACGAGGAACTCGAAACCCTAAAACCCAGAACCTTTAACGTAAACCCTTAAACCCCAAGCATGCCTTGTTTACGGCCGAGGTTTAGGGTTTCGGGTTTGCATCTTTAGGCCGGAACCCTCCCTCAACCCTACGAAACACGGCCCAAGCCCTAAACACTGAGACGCAAAACAGCCGAGCTCTTCAGAGAACACGCCTGGAGGTGCTGGCCCAAGCCGACGCAGCTCTCCGCACGCGCAGCGGAGAGCCCAGCGGAGTTCAGGGTTCGAAAGGGGTTTAGGGGGCTAAGGGTCTCCGGTTCGGTTCGGATTCGGGTTGAGGGGTTTGGGGTGTAGTGAGGATTTTTGCTGCGTCGTTGCTCTGGGGTGCAGAAGGCTGTCTGTTGCGATCCTCTGGAAGGTAGCTCGCAGCTGACTCAGGTGAGGTGTGTCCTGCTCTCTGACTTGCTTTAAAACTTGCACAGGAAGATCCGGATCTTGCGCTGAGATTGTGCCCTGACTCTGCTTGATTTTTGTCACTCTGTTCTTGCAACACGTGGAGGTCTGGGGTACTTCTGGCCTACTTAGTAAGCTCCTCCTTCATCTCAACGACAACCCAAAGTAAAAATCTGCATGCCGGTTCCCGAAGGGTATGTCACTGGATCCTTCCAGACCTTAAGCCCTTAGCCCTGACCCCTACATTTCAACCTACAAATACCCTAAAGGCTCCAAACCCTGAACCCTAAACCCAAGCCCTTACTTACTTAAACCCTACAGCCCTAGACCCCGAACCCCTCTAGTGTAACAAGCGAGGCGCCACCCTCATCCAGCAGCTCTGGCGAGGGAGGAGCAAGACGAAGGCCAGAGCAATGATTCGTGCCTGAGACCCTGCCCTCCTGAGCCTGAAAAACCCTAAGCCCTACTTTGTGTGGTTTTGAGGCTGCAGGGGTGTAGGTCATAGGGGGTGTTGGGCTCAAAGCCTCTATCTCAACAGCACTCTCCATCCTATATCTCCCAGCCCTGAGTGCGCCAATTGGGCCCTAGCAGGTCCTGATGCATCAGCTGGTGCGGCTTCTCCGCGAGAAGAAGGACTCATGGCCCTGGGCTCCTGCTTGCAAGTTGTCGTTCAGAGTGAGAGGGGGGGGCAAGAATTCCGCAGCAGAAACAGGTGTCCCGCAACAGGCGCCTGAAGCAGGTTGTAGCCGAAGACGAGGCCAGCTGTAACACGAACATTGTACCTGCAGCCACTGCAGTTTTCGGGTTTAGGGTTCAGGATTTAGGATTTAGTTGCAAGGACTACGGTTATGATTACCACAGGCCTGATCTTCCTTACCTGCTTGCACTGTTTTTGTTCCACATCGCTTTGTTTGATCGTTACGCGTTTTCTGTTGCCACCGGGGTTTTTGGGTTCAGGACCGCGATGAGATTCGTGCATAGCAAAAGCACAGCTTGCGACATCCCGTTGTGAGTCACCTGCTGGGAGTGCCAAACATGCTTGAATGAAGTTTTTGTGCTTGCATGGGTAATGCTCTCTCTGTCTCACTCTTGCTTTCTCTTTCGGTCTTGCTCCTGCTCGTGCTCTCTCTCTCTCTCTCGCTCTCTGTCTGTCTCTCCCTCTCTCTCTCTCTGTGTCAACCCCCTTTGTCTTTCTGCTCCAGCTCCTGCAGCTCCAGAGCATTGCAGACCTCAGCCCTCACGTCTCGAAGCTCGACATCCTAGCCGAAACCCTATGAAGAGTACGCTTGACGTTAAAATAGCAGGATTACTGGGAACCCTGCGGCTCTTAGCCCACATCCCGGACAACAAGTTTGGGGATTTGGAAGGCCAATGGGTTCGTCACCGCTTGCCCTGTTTTGGGCACAGCGATAGCATCCCAACACACACATGTCCAAACACAAAGTATGGCTTCGAACCTTAAACCCTCAAATCTTCAACCCCAACCCTCAGCACATCGCAGGACCGCCAGGCGCGGGAGCAGCAGCTGGGACGCCTGCGCAAGGTGCAGCGCACGTGTGTCGGATTGTAGGTTGAGGGAAGTTTGGGCGAATGGGTTAAGGGTTTAGAGGTTTAGGGTTCGGGTACCCTGTACCCAAAGACAGATATTAAGTCAAACCTGACACCAGAAAGCTTCGAACCCCAAATCCCAAACCTGAGGGCGTTCTCAAAGAGATGCAAGTCGCGAAAAATAAAAGAAGCAGATGGCTTTTCAGGCTCCCGCAGTAGGTTCTCCACTTGGAACACGTTCAGCGTACTGGATATCGTCGCTGCCCTCACTTGTCATCCGTGTACGCTAAGTGATGTGATCTATGTTTATGTGTCACTGCATGCTTTGTACATACTACACTCACTTCGCTCCCAACTAAGATGTGCGATTGAATAGGTTGACCTCTTTCTTGCATTCGGAGAATTTGGCAGATCCCCTCAATTAGGGGCCCCTCCTCTCTATTTCGGGCACCCCAACAAGGGACCATCGTGAATTGGGTTCTGCATAGGGTGCCGCGGCTCGGCTAGGCGGAGTCGCTACGACACGCGCGCAAGGGCTTGGCGGCTGCCCTTCTGACACCCATTTGGGGGTTTCCGAAATTAGGTCCCCTGTTTTCGCAACCTCCCATGTCAACGGCTAAGCTCTAGACCTGAAAGGGTTTTGGGGTTTTGCGGTTTGGGGGTTTCGGGCTGGCTTGCGGTGAGTTGGCGCGGGTCTTGGAGTAGTGGGGTTTACAGGCCTTTCCTCAGGCTCCAAGCCCTTAAACCCCTCGGCCCACAGTTCCCAGCGGCCGGCAGAAGTGCCCAACAGAGGGTTTAGTCAAGGGTGTATAGGGTCTTGGAGCTGCGTCTTGGGTTTAAGGAACTGTGCAAGAGTATTCTTATGCATACTATACATAGTTTTCCTATACGTATCATGCGTATTCGGCATGTTATACATATCATACATATTGTACATATGATACATGTTGTACATATTATACATATTATACATATTATACATATTATACATATTATACATGTTAAACATTTTGTACATATTCTACATATTCTACATAGTCTACATATCGTACATATTATACATATTATACAGATTACACATATTATACATATTATACATATTTTACATATTGTACATATTCTACATATTATGCATTTTGACAAATTGTATGCGCATTATAGTTGAGCGGCTCTCGGGCTGTGCTGGGTGCTGCACAATTGGCTTCTCCCCGCTTATCTCTCCACGCCATGTTCGTGAACCTGAAGTCGCTAGTGAGTGAATGAGTGAGCCCCTGAACCCCCCTGAACCCCCTGAACCCCCTGAACCCCCCTGAACCCGCTGAACCCCTGAACCCCAAAACTCTTCACCGACTGAGCCAGGAGAGGATCCAGCGCTGGTGGCGCCACTTCTTTCGGAAGCAGAAGTGGCCTTGTTCCTGGAAGACGGGGGCCTAGGGTTATACTTTAGGGTCTCGGGGTTTCCCTGGCTAAAGACGAGCCCGAACCTAGAGGTTTTAGCCTGCTTTGGGTGCAGTTTCTAGGAGCTCTCCCCAATCGCAAGGGTTGGGATCGCTCAGAGATTGGGGCTCATTGTTGTGGGGTTTAGCGGCTTAGGGTCTTTTGAGGTTTAGGGTCCCCGGGTTTAGGGTTTGACGTTTGGGGTCAGGGCTGTGGGGCGAAACCCTAGAAACCTTCTAGCCCGAAGCCCCTTGTGAGGTTGAGATTGATCGCCGAGAAGAAGGCGCCAGAACCGAAGAGCTCGGCGTTTCAGGGGGTTGTTAGGTTGAAGGTTTTCGGATCTGAGGGTTTTGGGATGTAGGGTTTCAAGGTTTGGGCTCTTGGGGCCTAGCGGTTTGAGGTTTTCGGTGGGGTTCAAGGTTCTTCGGGCGTTGACATGGCCCTTCTGAAGTTGCTTAGGTGGAGATCGGGTTTTTGGGCTCGGGAACCCGTTCTCTGGGTAGAAGATGTGCTTTGGGCTTTGAGAGGGGCACAGAGTTGCGAAGTTGCGCACAATATCGCACCTGCATGTCGCTGGCCACCAAAGTTGCTAAGCCAGAGACTTCCGGGTAGCTCCCGGAACAAGCATCGAGGGTTTTCCATGGCGGAGGTGTACCTAGCAGTCCAACCGCAGGAGGCTCACCGGTGCCTTCCCGAAGACGAGGATGCGTATGTGCTGCTAATGCCGGAAGACACGTACGGAGCCATGCTGGTGGCTTGGGGTGGGCTCCGCAAAGGGGAGTCCATGTGCTGCGACTTCCTGGTGGTGCTTGCATCCCACATCCTTCATTTGGGTATCCAGGTCGTCTTGCTGCTGGCCTTATTCCACGAAGTCTTCTGCAAGATGGATGCCTGCAGCATTGAAGCGACAAGCGGCCTGCGGGAAGTCTGCTGCACGGTCTTTGTCGGCGAAATGGTGCAGGAAATCGATGCATGCAAGGCGCTCTGTAGCTGGGTCCGGAATCCCGAGATCAATGCGAACGACAGACGGCTGATGTCCCTGCAGGTTTTGGTGGTTGTGGTCCCAAAGGCCTTGCTGGTAGCTGCTTCCACCTACATTGGCTCGTCGTTTGTCGCTTTGAGCCAGACAAATGCCGACATGATTTTGAACACCGTCGCCATGACCTTCGTGAACAATATTGACAACGCCATCTTCCGAATCTTGAGCCCTCAACGTCTCAAGAACAGGCTGACATCGTTTCGGACGACGGCTGTAGCTCCAAAAACTCCGCTCTATGCAACGTGGAGGGCTTCTGCATGGATCTTGGTTGTCTTCATCAGTATCATGGTCTTCACACCTCGGTGTAAACATCCAACGTGGTTTGCGGCCGTGACCCACTTCTTCGATGCCACCGCTTTCAAGAAGCTAGGTTCAGTTTGCTAACCCCAGCTGAATGATTTTGGTTCTCTGATATGGTTCAGCGACTCTTTCGATGGAGGATGACAGTCAGCACCAGGGCACGCAGCGCGAGCTCGGAGAGGCAGGACGAGGGGCCAGGCAAGAGAAGAGAAGTGGACCCTTCCACGAGATTCCACTTGCAGCGGCTTTTCTGGGATCTGTGCTGCTTCTTCTGTAAGGCTTCTGGAGCTCGTTGTGTCAATCATGTGCAGCCATGATCCGACCCCGACGGAGTCATTTGTGCGAGATGTCCATCAAAGGCAGTGCAAGCTGCTGAAGAATGAGCCCTTGTATGACCCCATTGAAAACCCTTTGTAATCCCGATACAGAAGACCGGATGAGAAGAAGTGGTCGCAGCTCCGCCCTCGCAATCGGCATAAAAGGCGAAAACCCTCAACCTTGTTTGGAGAGGCGGCTGGCTCCCACACGCTCCCACTGTCCTGTGACTGTGAGGCAAAGCTTCAGCGAGAAGCTCAGCGGAAGGAGGCCCTGCAACAACCTTTTTAGTAGGGTGCTCGGGGCGTTTGGGGTTCCGAGCGTGTCGCGTACCATGAGGGAAAGCCCTTGACTCTAAGCCCTAAACATCGAAGATTCATGAGAGGTTTAAGCCCCCCAACCTGCGGACGTCTTACATGCGGTCCACACATTGAGCACATCTCAAACCTGGAACCCTGGTCTTCATGTAGTGGTCCAGCTCTCTCCAAACGCGGATAGGAACTCCGAAACCGGCGCCTGGAGTCCCTGAGCCGACTCCAGGTCGGGTCGTTTTTCGCTCGGTTTTTAGGGGTTCAAGGGCTTTTTCTGGAAAGGCGGGGCAAGGTGGACATCGCTTTTGGGGGTTTCGGCTTTAGGGCACGGGGTCGGGTTCGTCGTTTCAGGCTTTGGGGGCCTTAGGGCCAGAGTTTAGGGTTCAGAGGTTTCTGAGGGGTTTGAAGCAGCGTTAAAGGTTAGTAGGCTCTTTTGGGAAGTTTATGCCGGGTTTATTGGGCGCACCAGAAAGCCATAATTAGACCCTAAAGAGGGAATGTTTGTGGACTTCGAGATTGCAGGGTCTTAAAGTTTGGGGTCCGGCTCAAAGGAGTTCGGGTTTAAGCTTCGCGCTTCGGTCACAGAGCCGTGATTCTGTCGCAGTGTAGCGGGTTGTGATTGTAAGTCTTGGAGTTAGTTAGGACTTGGAGATGTACAGATTATTCGATATCGGATTTGTCCTAGCGCGGACCACCGAAATCGACCGGAAACCGATCATCGGCGCAGAGTTTCGAGATCCAACCGTGAGAGCCGAGAGCCATAACCTTTGCTTATGGGGACCTTAAAGCAGACAGCAGATGGTTAGACAGGAAAATTATTTCGCTTTGCCCATGCAAGAGATTCGAACTACTTCCGGATATCACTGAGCGTTTGTTTCAATCCGCCCAGGATGCCGAGATCCGCGGACAGGCCATTCGGCTGTCTTTCCTTTGCTGCCAGGCGTAGGGATTGAGGTTTACCTTGCAAGCATCGGGTAGGGGTCAACAAATTTCGGGTTCAGTTCGACCACCTCCGCGGGATGTGGCAGGTTCCCTGAATTTGGCCCCTTCTTGGTGCCGAATACAATTCGGCCACTTGCGCCTAAATGGGACTTGGACCTAGCCATGTGAAGGACAAGCCCCGACTTCGGGCCAGTGTACTCCCGCGCCACCAGGCAGGGGGTGGGAGGGATTTGGATTTGGCATGAACTGGGCCTCAAACAGAAGCCTACCCTGGATCAACCACTGTGTGCCCCCCACAACCCCAAAACCCCAAAACAATCACCCCTCAAGCATCCCTCAAGCACCCCTCAAGCACACCTGAAAGCACCCTTAAAGCACTCCTGAAAGCACCCCTTAAGCACCCCTTACAGCCCCCCAAGACCGCCAGAAGCGGCCAGGCCAGGCCCCTGACGCGGCGCCTGTTGGAAGCCGAGCAGGAGCGGGCCGTGCAGATCCAGGAGCCCCAGGGTTCAGCTTTGTGGGGCTTTCGTAGGGTCTCCTAGACCTTCTTTAAGGTTTAGTGGTTTTCAGTAGGGTTCAAAAAGTTTAGTATAGAATCTAATGTGGTTTCGTAGGGTTTCGTAGGGTGAGTAGGGTTTCGTCGGGTTTAGCAGGGTTTAGTAGGGGTTAGTAGGGTGAAGGGGTTGAGAGGTTCAGAAGCCACTGCCAATTGCACTGTCCATGGCTCAAAGCAGCAACCCTGCTGACTTAAAAACTCATGAATGAACAAAACTGGTATTAAGAGTCGGCTAGCACTTAATTGTGAACCTGGACGTAATGCCTCCTAACCCTAAGCCCTATTCCAATACGCCCTTCGGCTCCCCCAGCCCTGCAACCCTACGCTTAACGCTGCCAGCCATTGAGCTCTGTTGCCATGGCATTGGTGGGCCGCTTGGAGGACCGACTGTTTACGGCGTAAGGTTTGGGGCACCTGACTGTTCAGTTCTATGGTCTCCCCCTCGCAAGGTTTACGGTTGCGGTGGCAAGACTCTGAGCTAGCCTCCTAAGCCTCCCTACGCACATCCAATTCCAAGCCCTGAAGCCCAAAACCCCAAACTCCGAACCCTTAAACCCACACCCAACAGCAGGCTAACAGATCCAGGGTTTAGGGTAAACCCTAAACCCTAAACCCTAAACCCTAAACCCCAAACCCCTAAACCCCTAAACCCCTAAACCCCTAAACCCCTAAACCCCTAAACCCCTAAACCCCTAAACCCCTAAACCCCTAAACCCCTAAACCCTAAACCCTAAACCCTAAACCGTGAACCCTAAACCCCCTAAACCCCTAAACCCCCTAAACCCCCCAAACCCCCTAAACCCCCTAAACCCCCTAAACCCCCTAAACCCCCTAAACCCCCTAAACCCCCTAAACCCCCTAAACCCCCTAAACCCCCTAAACCCTAAACCACAGGGACTCGCCCTTTCTCAGGGACTCAGGTTTCTGAAGGCTACTTCACCCTAAGCACCCTTTTGGGTATCCCATGAATCAGCGCCTTCCCGAAGGACATGTGCTCCCGGGAGGAGGCCTTGCAGCGCGAAGCCGAAAGGCTACTGGACCCTCTGGAGCCCCCCGTGGCTGAACAAGCTTTGCGTTGGGTTGGGGGTTTGGGGTTCAAGGGGGTTTGGGGGGGTTTAGGGTTTTGGGTTCAGGGGGTTTGGGGAGGCTTTGGAGGTGTTGGGCCAGAAGCTTGCGTGGCTTGCCCTTCAAAGCCTTGAGAAAGTATCCCATGCAAGAGATCAGCGTGCCCTGAAACTCCCAGGGGACCGCTTCGGCTTCCAGGCAGAGATCCCTAATGTAAATGTCCACACTTATGTGTAAAGCCCCGGTCCTTTCAATCCGCATGCTGAGTTCGGTTTCGGGGTTGGGGCCCCCAGGTCAGAATATGGTTATATAATCAGATAATCAGATTCTTCCGAGCAAGGGCTCTCACGCGGAAGAACAGATTTTTACAAAGCTTGGCGCAATTCCGGGCGACTGTGCTAATCAGCTTTCATGATGACACTTAAATTCCGAAAGATTCCCGAAGTCATATTGGGATCCCGACTGCAATGTAAGGAATTGTCTCGAACAAAGAGATATCGGAGTGTCTGGGCCTAAGCCTAAGCCCAGAAGCCCCGAAACCCCCTTAAACAAGCAAAAGCCTCGTCGACCAGAGGTGGCTGGCGGGCAGCGAGCCGCGAGCGCCGAAAGCAGATCTCTGCCTGGCCACAAAGAAGTGCCCGATGTTGAGGATCTTGAGTTTTGAGGGTTTCAGAGTTCGGGTTTTGAGAGCTCGGGAGTTAAGGTGCGGAGTTCAGGTTGAAGGGTTCAGTGGTTTAGGTTTGAAGGGCTCAAGCTTTCGGACTCAGGGCCTAGGGAATGATGCTCTCCAGGTACCAGCGAAGCGCTGCTGGCAAGGCCTGCTTGGATTGGGGCCTAGATGGCGCAAAACGCTATGAGCAATGTTGGAGTTCCTCAACAGCAGCCCAGGAGACCCTAAACCCTGTGCCGTGGGTTTCAGGCTTCTGAGACGGAGGGATTGCCTTCGGACCCCCCGCTCCCACCCCATCTTGCAAGATGCAAACCCACATGCTTCTACTCAGATTCTACTCTACTCCCCACTTTGACGACCTAGAGACTTCAAAAAGAGGGAATCAGGCAGCTGCCTCTTCAGGCAGCTGCCTCGGCCTGATTTGCGTGTGCTTCGATGAGCTTTGGTGGTCCCTTCTGGGCACCCTAAACAACCCTAGACAAGGTACCCGATTGCGGTCCTAACTTAAGGGGAGCACTGGCCCAAGCCTTGATGACGATTCCCGCTGTTGTTTGCTTCTGTCTGATCTCGCCGGATTCCATTAGGCGATGCGCGGTCACTAAGCTCCATTGAACCCCAAAAACCTTACATATGCCGAGAAAGGATTCAAGATGAAGTAGTTGGGCATTGATCAGGGGCTTCAAGACTGCAAGGAAACAGCCCAACAAAATTGTTGGCAAGTTCGTCGCAGCTTGCATGAAAACGTTCGACCACAGTCAAAAGAGGCGATGTGTGCGAAGCGCATGGGCAGTATGGTGTCCTTCAGGGCACTTAAAAGGACGTTGCTTCGCGCAAGCTAGCTTGATTTTGTAGAGGGCCAGCTTTTGAAGGCCAGTTTCTGGCGTGCGAAGAAATCAAACGCTGGTTGATTCCACAGTCACTAGCTACTGCTGAGAAGAGCAGCTTGTTGTGGCCCGGCTTTTGGGAACGGGGACGTCAAGGCTCTCGGCTCACGAGCGCTTTGCTACTTTGTCACCGCTTTCACATGCTCTTTCATGTTCTTACTTCTTGCAGTTCAGGAAATTTACATTTTGGGCATGCAGTCTATGTGGTTTTGACATAATTGTTTTACACATTGGATTCTAAGACTTGCATGTGCAGAGCCATAGGGGGCGCTGCGGTGAAGACCCTCTTTTCCATTTGTGCTGCCTGCCTATGCGAAACTTTTTCGTGTGGACAGTGATCA